CCCTCCTCGCTGTGGTGGAACTGGTGGCCCAGGGTCATCTTTGATAGCAACAGAGAGACCCTGGGGAAGAGGGTCCCAGCCAGTCAGTTGCAGATGCTTCCCTCACGGGGACAGAGGTCCGCGCGGGGTCCCCAAATTGGTGTCCTGGGTCCGTCCCAGGCCCTGGGCCTCGTGCAGCCCCACGCTGCCCCCTGGTGTGCGCTACTGCGAGGTGCAGCGCGTCCGGCCCAGTTCTGTGTGCGGCACCCCATTGCGCCTGGCTCCAAAAGGCGACCACTGCCAGGTTCCAAAAATACTGGATAAAATATATATATATAAAATGTGTGTGTATATATATTTAAGATGTTATATATAAAATAATTTATATAATAATTTGTATATTATATATTATATGTAATATATTCATATCTTTTATAAATATATAAATATTTATTTAATTTTTTTATGAGACACAGTCTCGCTCTGTCACCCAGGCTGGAGTGCAGTGGTGCGATCTCAGCTCACTGCAACCTCCGCTTCCCAGGTTCAAGCAATTCTGCTGCCTCAGTCTCCTGAGTAGCTGGGACTACAGGCACACGCCACCACGCCTGGCTAATTTTAATTTAGTATTTTTAGTAGAGACGGGGTTTCACCATGTTGGCCGGCCAGGCTGATTTCGAACTGACATCAAGTGATCTGCCCGCCTAGACCTCCCAAAGTGCTGGGATTACAGGCATGAGCCACCGTGCCTGGCCTTGTTCTCTTTCTTTTCCGAGAATTCCCACAGCATGTGTGTTAGCACTGCTGAGAGTGTCTCACAGCTCTGGACCATCTGCATTTCTGGACCTGGTGCAGATCCCAGGATGCTGGACTCGGATTTGATGCCTTACAGTGGAAGGGGGTTGAGTATATTTTTTATGTGGGAGGGGTGTGGACTGTAGTGGCCAGAGGAAAGACAGTGGCAAGGCATTTCCAAAAGTGGCCACCAACAGTTCCTCCCACAAAGAGAAGGGGCTTATCTCTTCTTCTCTGCAATATTCTCCGACCTTCTGACTTGCTCCGAACAATAGGATGCAGCGTAAGTGATATTCTGGGACTTCCAAGCCAGACTCAAGGGCCTTTGGCTTCTGTTTTCATGCTCCTGGAACTCAGCATCCATGGAAGGACGTTCTTGGCTTCAACCCAAGGAAGGGAGGCCCCGTGAAGTCCGGGAGGCCCAGCCAGCCCCTGGCCACTGGAGCGCCCAGCTGAGGTGCAGGACTCTTGAGGGCTGCCACTGTATGCTGACCATCCAGGCGAATGCAGTCCCACGAGTGATCCCACGTAGTGGGATCCTACGTAGAACAGAACAACTTCTCAGCTGGGCCCCAGACAATCCACAACACTTTGAAAAGTAACACTTCTTATGGGTGTTTTGTTTTTTGGGTTGGTTGGTTTGTTTTAATGGAGTTTCACTCTTGTCACCCAGGCTGAAGTGCAGTGGTGCAATACGGCTCACTGCAACCTCCGCCTCCCAGGTTCAAGTGATTCTCCTGCCTCAGCCTCCTGACTGGGATTACAGGCACCCGCCACCACACCCAGCTAATTTTTGTATTTTTAGCAGAGACCAGGTTTCACCAGGTTGGCCAGGCTAGTCTCAAAACTCCTGACCTCAGGTGATCTGCCCGCCTTGGCCTCCCAAAGTGCTGGGATGACAGGCGTCAGCCACCGCGCCCGGCCTGTTTTTGTGTTTTAAAAGCATTTTATTTTGACATAATTATAGATCCAAAGGAAGCTGCAAAAATAGCAGAGTCCCGTGTACCTCCACCAACTTCTCCCACTGCTGCATGGCAGCAAAACCTGAAAACTGACATTGACTTGTTACTATTAATATACCAGTTATGCTTGGTGCATATTCAGTTGTCACCACTTTTTAAATTAAAATGAAATTCACATACAGTTAACTATTTAAAGTTATAATTCAGTGGCAAGTAGCACGTTCACAGTGTTATGCAACCATCACCACTGTCTAGTTTTAAAACATTGTTGTCACTTCCCAAGGGGAAAACATGCCTCCCCATTCCCTTCTGCCCCTAGGCCCTGGCAACCACGAACCCACTTTCTGCCTCTGTGGCTACACCTCTTGTGGATATTTCATGTGTTATCAGAAAAGGGTCCTGATCCAGACCCCAAGAGAAGGTTCTCGAACCTCGAGCAAGGAAAAATTCAGGGCAAGTCCATAAAGTGAAAGCAAGTTTATTAAGAAAGTAAAGAAACAAAACAACCGGGCGCAGTGGCTCATGCCTATAATCCCAGCACTTTGGGAGACCGAGGTGGGAGGTCAGGAATTCGAGACCAGCCTGGCCAACATGGTGAAACCCCGTCTCTACTGAAAATACAAAAATTAGCCGGGCATGGTGGCACGTGCCTGTAATCCCAACTACTTGGGAGGCTGAGGCAGGAGAATCACTTGAACCCGGGAGGCAGAGGGTGCAGTGAGCTGAGATCATGCCATTGCACTCCAGTCTGGGCGACAGAGCAAGATTCCGTCTCAAAACAAAAAAGAAAAAGAACAATGGCCACTCCATAGGCAGAGCAGCAGCATGAGCTGCTAGACTGAGTATACTTATAGTTATTTCTTGATTATATGCTAAACAAGGGGTGGATTATTCATGAGTTTTCTAGGAAAGGGATGAAGATTTCCCAGAACTCAAGAGTCCTTCACCTTTTTAGACTACATAGGGTAACTTCCTGACGTTGCCATGGCATTTAGAAACTGTCAGTGCGCTGGTGGGAGTGTCTTTTAGCATGCTAATGCATGATAATTAGCGGCTAATGAGCAGCGAGGATGACTGGAGATCACCGTGGTTGCTGTCTTGGTGCAGAAGCTACACCCTGGTTGCAGCTTCTCTATAGCATCCTGTTTTATCAGGAGCGTCTTCAGGACCTGTATCTTGAACCTGTACCTTGCGCTGACCTCCTGTCTCATCCCCTAAGAACGCCTATCCTCCTGGGAATGCAGCTCCACAGGTCTCAGCCTGGTTTTACCCAACCCCTATTCAAGATGGAGTTGCTCTGGTTCCCACGCCTCTGACATGAGTCATGCAGTATGTGGCCTTGGGTCTGGATTCTTTCACTTAGCATATAATGTTTCTAAGTTTCATCATCTTTTCTGCAAATCTGAGACTATTCTAAAATTTCAAAGTTTATTTTTAAAAATTGAGAGCTGGTAAGCTTTGCCCCTTTCCCAGTTGCCTCCTGGAGGCCACCTGGAGGCCGCTCCTCCCTAGGCTGGGGACGTGCCCTCGGAGTCCTGTGGCCATGAGCTCCTTCTTGTCACTCAGATTAGTGGGACGGCCCCGCAAACCACACTCCCCGTCCTAAGCCCGGCGCAGTTGCATGGGCTGCGGACTCAGCACCAGCTGACCTGGGCGGTGGCCCCATGAATGCCTGGCAGCTGGGAGCCAGGACAGCCCCGACGCCTTCCGGTCAGGGAAGCCCCGCCCCAGGGCAGGAGGGGAGCTGGGGACTCAGTGGGAGACTCATTCCGAGGCTAGGCTAGGGACAGCCCCGCGCTCTCTGAGTTTCAGGATGGGCCCACCAGCGCCCCCAGACACCCTGCTGCAGACTGGGTCGTGCACCGCGCGGGGAAGCGATCCTGAGACCCGCGCACGTGCATGCACGTGTGCACGCACGCCCTGGTGTGCACAGTTCTACACGTGCACTGCTGTGTTTCCACGTGGAAACACAAACACAGCGCTGCGGAAGGAAGCGCCTGCCAGCGCCAGCCTTTCCTGCGACCCCAGCTCCGCGACCCTGGGCTGTCCTGGGGCCAGCCTGCTCCGCTGCGGGGGACACCACTCGCCCTGGAGCTCGGAACGCGACCCCAGGCCCAGGCTGCGGGGCGGGCGAGCGCCTCCTGGGCTGGAACCTGGCGGTGAGGACCCCGCGGGTTCGGCCTGGGCGTCTGGGGAGCTCCTGTGCCCGCACGGTGTCCCCTGCTCCGCCCCTTGCGCGTCACTCGCCCCCTCCCCCCGTAGTCCTGAGGCTAGGCAAGGGGCAGGACCCCGCAGCCGCCTTCAGTGCGTGGTTTCTTAGCCGCGGAGCGATGGGGGACCCGGGGCGGGGCCGAGGCTGGAGGGAGGCGGGCGGGGCCAGAGCAAAAGCGGGGACCGAGGGCGGAGCCAGAACTGGGAGTGAGTCTGGGGGCGGGGCGCGAGGCTCGCGGGGCGGCGGCGCCCCCTGGCGGCTGAGCCCGTCCCAGGCACCGGGCGGAACGTGGGACGCAGCTGTGCCTCGATGGCCCGGCGGGTAGGAGCACAAGGCCCAGGAAGGTGGCGGGGCCGGGGCCGCACAACCAGGCACCTCCCCTTCGCGCGAATCCAGTGCTCTGAGCTCCACTCAGGTGGCTCCCTGGGACTTTCCCTCAGAATGGCCAGAGGCTGCAGCCTGCACAGGCGACAGCGCCTGCAGCCGTCCCCGGCCCCTTTCCTTCATCTTCAAGCTATTCAAGGGCATCAAAAAGGGCACTGACCAAGCGCACCACCCAGCGCAGTGACCACCCCTGGGAACTCCCGTCACTGCCTTCTGAGCTGTGCACAAATGACCTGGTTTCTGCAGCAGCAGCGGCGCACTCGGCTGAGCCCCCAGGACTGGCAGCAGCTGCAGGGCCTCCAATCCCTGGCCCTCTCCCCAGGGTGCAAGGCAGGTAAGGCAACTGACTGCGCACTCTTCACACAGACGCTTATTAAAGGAGATTTATTTTTACTGCAGCTCTTTCTGCCCCTAAACTGTCCAAAAACAAAGACTAGGAAACAGCCCAAGCAGCCTCCACCCAGCCCGGCCACAGGGCCTCAGCCGCCAATCAGAGCCTCAGCCGCCAATCAGAGCCGCTCCATGGCTCCAGTTCAGCTCAGCTCAGCGTTGCCCAGGAGAAAAAGGCTCGGAGACAAAGCCCAGAGGGTGAGCAGGGGCCAGCCCCACGGGTCTGAGGGTGCCAAGAGCACCCTGGGCCTTGCCTCCTCTCCCAGAACTCCCTCGCCCTCTTCATCTGCACCGGCGTCCCTGGCCGCTGTCCCTTCATCCCGGCAGGAGGCCGACCTCCCTCTCCACCAGCCGGCTGACCGTGCGCAGGGCCAGGGGCAGCGCCGTGTTGACATCGCGGTGGTATCGGGGGCTGCACACCTCTGTGCTGGGTGTGAGCACAAACTGGGCCACACTGGGCATCTTCAGCAGGGTCAGCAGCTCCGTGGCCCGGGTGCAGATGGCTTCCGCACCCTCCTCGCCGTGCATGGAGCCGGTGGCTGGACTCTGAGTCAGGGTCCTCATCTTTGACAGCAACAGAGAGGCCCTGGGGAAGAGGGTCCCTACTGTCAGCTGCAGATGTTCCCCTCCCAGGGACAGGGGTCTGTGTGGAGGGACCAGGCCCTGAAGCGCCCAACAATGGCTTTAGCTCAGCAGGGCCACTCAGGACCTGCGCTGCTGCCACCATTTCAAGACACCTGGACGGGAAGACCTCACAAGCCACATCTCTTCCCCAGGAAAGTCCAAAGACTTCTCTCCCTCCCCGACCAGGCACCTGGGGATCAGGTCTTGGCTCCGGGAGGCCAGCTTCGTCAGGGTGGTCATCAGCGCGGTGACCACCTTGGGGGGACACCTGGGCAGGGCAGCAGAGGGGCGGCACTGGGTGACCTCGAACAGCAGGGCCTCCAGGGCTTCGAAGAACTTGTTGATCTGCTCCACAGTGCACCTCCGATCGTAGGCCACGGATAGGTACTCGCCGACGGCCCACACCTAGGCCCGGGGACAGAGGTCAGCCCCCACCCAGGCCTCCTGGGTCAGGAGCGGCCAGGGGAGGCCAGCGCCCGCCTTACCACACTGGTGACGAGGCTCGCCCTGCTGCGAAGGCCGTTCACGCTGCCCAGGAACTCCAGCAGGTCTCTTGCCAGCTCCACCACCAGGGAGGGCTTCAACGTACACAGGGCCAGGAACTGGGAGCTCAGCACACTGCAAAGAGAGCCGGGTCCATGCCTGCTCCATGCCTGCTCTGTGCAGACTCTGACCCCATCCCCACGCAGACTCCGTGCAGCCCTCTCACCCGGTCCCCACGCCTGCTCCACGCAGACCTCTGACCCCATCCCCACCCCAGCCACCCCTTTCAGGCCAAGGGCCTGGAGGGACCCAGGAAGCGTGTGAGTGGCAGGTGCAGGCTGCACCCTCAGATAGGGGGACGCAGATGACTGCCAGCCCTAGAGGAACTGTTCTCACTGGGGAGAAGGCTGGCACTGGCGCTGTCCTCAGGCCCGGGCTCAGAGTAGAACCAGGATGGGCCTGCGTGCATCAGGCCTTTGGAGAGAAGGACCCCAGGGGACAGGGTGTGGAAGAGGGACTTGAGCCAACCCTGAAGATGACAGGCTCGGCAGAGGGAGGGACAGGAGAATGTTCTTGAGAGGCAGAGAGGAAGCACCGGGGCTGCACATGGGGCTGTGGGTGGGGGTGGCAGGGTCTGAGGCTGCTGAGGGCCCACCTAGGAATGCAGCTGAAGCCACTGAAGGGGAAGGGGAACGGGAAGAGAAAGGGGAAGGGAAGGGGAGGGGAAAGAGAAGGGGAAGGAGAGGGGAAGGGGAGGTGAAAGGGAAGGGGAAGGGGAGGTGAAAGGGGAAGGGGAGGGGAAGGGGTCCAGGAGGCACCTGTCCAGGGATGGGGAGGTGGCGCGGGAGGGACCCACCTGTGTACACGGGCTGCATACCCCGGGGCCGGATAGAGTGAGTCGCTCCTGCCCAGGAGCAGCAGCGCCAGCTGGTTGATCAGGGCCCCGTCAGCCACCTGGGGATAAGGAGTGGGAGATAGGCTCAGCCCCACCCCCACTGCAAGCCCTAGGGTGGGGGATGAAGCCATGGTGAGGGTTGGGGGGCAGCTGAGGGACTGGAAACTCCTCGTCCACTGCCTTCCCAAACACCCAGGGACACAGAGACTCAGCTGGCAGCATCCGGGCACAGGGAGGGAATCCCCGGGCAGATCTGCGTGCCCCCCGCAGAGGCGCTGCTTCTGTTCCGCGGCTCCTCTGCTCTGCAAGGCTGGGGACACGTCTTGCTCAGCCAAGGGTGCGCCCAGGCGACACCCAGCCCTGTGCCCAGCGCCCTGCCGGCCTGCCCACCTCCCAGGCTCTCCTGCACTGGCGTCCGGCTTGTAGAGCTCCCCGAGGTGGGAAGCAGCAACGGTTGGGGAGGGCGGGGTACCAGCCTGTGGGAGCCTTTATTTTAGACTCAGATGCAGATGTTGAATTATCAGGGGCAGCAGGGGGACAAACTGCTCTGGCCCCCGCTGTGCCACCAGCGCCCAGGCCACTCACTCGCCCTGTCCTGGGGATGGGGGACAGGGCCTGCTGGGACAGGGGACGGGGCCTTCCAGGATGAAGGGGATGGGACAGGGGCTGGGGCCTGCTGGGATGAAGGGGATGGATGGGGGCCGGGGCCTGCCGGGATGAAGGG